TGACATTTATCTGAAAATTAAAATTATAAAATTACGATTATATTTTTCAAAATTATGAGATACAAAGTTCGTAATAATTTTGAAGAATGTAATCTTAATTTTGTAATTTTAATTATCGTAATTCGTTATTAATTGGAATACGCAAGATGGAAGCGCGGCCGCCGCGGCCAGAATATCCCCTCCAGCTGGCTAGTTCGGCTTCGGCACGAACCTAGCACGGACGCAAACCATGTGCGGTTACCGAGCGATACGACGTAGTTGAGTTGCATTTTCTCAGGCGGCGCGTCGGAAAATGCAACACAGCAACACACGAAAAAGGCCGGGATGGCCTCTCTCAGGTTTCTCTCTGCCCGCGTAGATGGTGCGAGCGTGCAAAGTGCCGAGGTGCCGAGTGCCGAGTACGAGGACCGCTACGCGGGCGCGAAGGCCGCGAGGGATCTCAATTCTCAACCAGGTGAACCCGTGAACCAGGTCTTGCTGGAAGTCGGAAATTTCAGTACGTTACCGTTGCGTCGGGAACGTACGGCGTACGAGAGGAAAAAAGGGAGAACCGGCGTAGCGATGCTGAATCAGGCGGTGGTGGAGGCGCTTTATTCGGCGACGTACATCGAAAACTACTTGGACTGCGTGGAAAATCTGCCCAACGACTTGCAGAGATACGTCTCCCGCCTCCGCGAGCTGGACGCCACTTGTCAAAGTAAGTACGATCGAATTCTCGGAGCTCCCTCGATCGCTGACAGCTCGATCGTGTTCCCAGCTGTTCCCCGCATCCGCGATTCGATAGCACTTGTTTATCTCTCTTGCGATTCTCTCTGATGGATATCTCTCGCACAACTTTTCCCCGATCTACGTATTTCGTGTACTAGATTATTTACAGGTAATTTAGCAACGATCTCTGATGGTTACGCACAAAATTAGTACAGTGAATGTGACGATGCTTCAGACAACATAAAGGAAATGATCTCATTCTAATTTCCTGGACGTTTCTCTGGACCGTCTCTTAAACTTTTGTGTTGTTAAAATTTAAGAAAGTAATATCAGCGACAGTATTAAAATTTGTGAATCGAGCTTGTGGTTGTGAAAAATAAAAAAGCCGTATTGAGTTTTACGCAATTTGTGAATTTTTAAAGATGCTTTTTGTGAGATAATATTATTGTAAATCTTATCTTGGCTGATGCAGCTGTTTACCGTGTTTCTATTGTTTTACTCTCAGCATATCTACACGAAGTGGATCAGCAACAGGAGGTACTGCGGAACGACGCGGATCCCGCTATTAAAAGAAGGGCATTGATGAGAATACAGCAAGCTCTGATCGCAGCACAGGAAATAGGAGACGAGAAATTACAGATCGTTCAGCAAGTGCAAGATCTTATAGAGAACAAGTCCAGGCAGTTGGACGTAGATTATCGAAACTTAGGTATAACATTTTGCTCATTTCTCAAGTTGATAAAATAAATGTAAACACGTGTAATTCCACCACATTATTGTATAACTTTTCATCATCTTATAGATTTTGGAAAGGAGCAAGAAAGCTCGGAATCGGTCCGTGAATCAAATATGAACAGCAATTCGAATAACGTGAGCCACGCAAACAACACGGAACGTCAGCCAAAACGTGCCAGAAGAACAAGGACCGAAACTTTGATAGAATCAACTCATTCCATGGACATGATGGTTGGGATGACGGAAACAAGATCTTCGGCATTGTCCAATGCGAGCAATGGAAATCAGAAAAAGACGGCGGCGGCAGCTACTGGTAAAAAGAAGAAGCGGAAATCTCGGCAAGGCAATCAACAAAACCAGCATCGTGAGGATACTCCGCCGCCACCGGAAGACGATCTCGCTATAGATCCCGACGAGCCGACTTACTGTCTGTGCGATCAGATATCGTACGGCGAGATGATCCTTTGTGACAACGATTTATGTCCCATAGAATGGTTCCACTTCTCTTGCGTATCTTTGACTACGAAACCGAAGGGTAAATGGTTCTGTCCAAAGTGTCGCGGTGATCGACCTAATGTCATGAAACCCAAGGCGCAATTCCTCAAAGAACTGGAAAGATACAATAAAGAAAAGGAGGAAAAATCATAGCAACAGCACGGTGGTGAAAGACTTAAAAATTTCGCTAAACTTAATTGGACTTAATCGAGATTTTTGTAGGATAGTTTTCAATTTCGAGCTGTAAATTAAAATCGTATTCTATCGAAATCTATCAAAATCTCGAGTTACATTTTTCGTCTTTCTTTTTCATTATTATTCTACAATTAAAAAAAAAGAGATATAATTATAATTAGAGAATGATATATGTTTCTTTGCGTTTAAATTGTAAAAATGGATAATGTATATGTGATATTGACGAATGTTCGTACATAACGTAATACTATTAATATTAAATGAGTCAGATTTATGTTCAAACGCATTTTCTTCGTTGATATCAATTATTGACGATATTCACTTAATATACTCATTTATTAGATTAGAATGCGCAAGATACTAAGCAAAGTGTCTTCGCAAAAGCAATAGTGCAAAAAAATACAATGATATAGGTACACTAACACATACAACATATGGACATGATATACACTATATATGTATATATAAACTATGAACTAATGTAAATGTAAATGAAAAGTAAAAATAACAATATGTAAATAACTACAAAATAATTGGACGATTAAAATAAACATTTCACATCTCATGAAAATGTAATATTGAAACATCAAAATATATAAAATGCACTTTAATGGTCACATAATAATTTTGCCTCAAGTTTTTTGTTGAAAAATCTCGTTATTTCTCTAAAAATTGTATCGAATATACAGCATTTCTTGTGTTAAATATAAGCATTTATATTAGCTCATATCGGAAAAACAGTAAAGAATTTATAAACACGTTGTGATTTCTTGCAAAATTTATTAATTCGATATTATTCAGTATACGACATTCATTTACAGTCTAATACAAGCGTGACTTTCTAATGGTAAATACCAAGTCGAAAACGAGAAATAATCACACTATTTTCTTATATTTTGCGCCATTACATGGTGAAAGTAGACTTTCCAGAAGCGACTTACACACTTTCATATCTTCTACCACAACTGTTATTTTCTTCAAGCTCGTCTATACTCGCAAAATAGTAAGTCGATTTGCCTGCGTTGATTAATGTATTTGCGTATGGCGAAACATTATATGGGCATTATTTTTATCTTTTGCGCGAGGGGTACCTAACAGCTAGTTTTATAAGAGCAAGATAATATATATATTGTACTTATAAGTAAAAGATCACATAAGTTTATAGTGCAATTTTACATCATTCCGCGGTTTTCTACTTTTTTCTTTTTATTTTTTTCTTTTATTTTTTTTCCAACAGAGTGTGAGAACCGTGCGAATTCCTCTCGTCGTGTTCTACAGACTGAATCAACACACGCGGAATGTTCGCCACGAAATATCGAAGGACATTACATATACAACTCCAATGGAACGTGTCGACCGAATTACCATTACGTATATAATACGGGGACAACTTTTATATTAGACACCGAAGCTGCGACGGAGATCTCTTACGCGTCGTTTAAAGCGGCGTACTTAATGTCAGCGGGGATCCTCCGTGTGACTCTCTTGGAAATTCAGCCAAGACTGTTCAACTACAGTGGCCACACGCTTCTCGTACTCCCGCTTGTTTTCTTGATACAATTGTGCCGCTAAAGAGTTGGCTGGTGAATTAGGATTCGGTTCGTCCAAAAGCGACTGTAACACAAATAGTTGACAAATTCCCTCAGCATGTTACTTCAGATACTCTTAAATTTTCGACAGAAAAATCGAATGTTTATATAAACACAAACGGAACTGAAAGGTCTCCAGGTTGTGGAAAGCGAATATCAGGTTACAATTATTAGACAATAAAGTGAAATTATGTATTTATTATTATTATCATTATCTATCATTATTATGTATATACATATATATATATATATTCATATATATATATATTCATATATATATATATACATATAATATATAAGTGAATTTTTGTGTGTATGGTACTGAAGTACTAGAATTCAAAGTACAATTCTGCGCCGCCGTAAAGACAGGACACACTCCTTTCGTAGAGAAAAGAAAAAAGGAAATGAAGAAAACAAAAAAAGCCCAGTATTTTTGTATACTCTAACATTTAATATAATAACTAATTTCGTGTATCATCAGATATTCGAAATAAATAAATACGCAATTTTATAATAATTTATTATTCAACATCGTAAAAATTCGGTCTAACGTTGCACATTGTCGTGGTAGTTCGATAGAGCTTTCAGGAAGAAACATGCTAGGTTTGTTTTCCTTCTTATTTCGTTTTTCTCTTTAACGTTAGCTCCTTGGTAAGGCTGCACGTTCTTCTCCCTTGTATCTGATGGCTGTTGGTGGCTGACTGATGCCGCGACAGCAGTATCGCGTTAACGCCCGCGACTAATCCACAAAACTCTGCTCCACGCAAGCCTTCACTCGTTTCTCGTACTCGCGTCGATTTTCTTTGTACAGTTGCGCTGCCATTGAGTTGGCAGGTGAATTCGGGTTCGGGTCACTTAACAGCGACTGCAATCACATAAGTCGTACTTCATTATACTTCGGAAAATGGGTTTTTTCCCGTTATTTTCGTTACTTTTTGACAAAGTGCATGGCCGCAATCGTAAATGAACGTGAGGGAAAGGACAATCTGCTTTTCCTTTCTTTTCCTCCTCTTTCTTTCGTCCTCTAATCGATGGAAAAAAAATCAAAAATGCGTATTGATGGGAATCAAAAGTAGTTATGTATAGACGCAGATGTATGCAAGTGTTACGCACAAATAATTGAATTAATTTCGAATCAGAATCATGTGATTAGACTTCGCTGAATTGCAACCGCTGTTAAGACAAAACGAACGATCCTTTCAGACATTTTTATCGCAACAGAGATCTTTTGGAAGCGATGTTTCAATGAGGAACATGTACAAATGATATTTTTAGAGAAAATAAGACAACACAATGAACGACACAGATCTTAAAAACACAAAAAAAAAAGATGAAAAACGACGTGAGATCTAAAAGGGTCTTCGTGATCTTTAAAATGCTTATATTTTACTTTGTTATATCAAACATTTATTAATTGCCATGCAAAGTTTAGCTTCCACAAGA